TTTTTATTCGGTCAGGACCAGTTTGGTCATAAATATATTTCGGTCTAGTCCGGTCCAAACTTGAATAGATTTAGGTTCGATCTTTGGTTAGTGACTTTAATTAATTCGGTCTTTGGTTCGGTCCAGGTCGGTCTGATCTTGAACCGATGAACACCCCAGATGCTAGTACACAAATTAATACTCCTTGCATTGAATTTTAAAGTTCACACTTTCTTTTTCGATCCGTCTACAAATAATTTTTGTTTCCTTTTTTAATAAATTTTATTTGTTAAAATGAATTAACCTAAATAGCTCTAAGTTTTCTACTTCCCACGTCCCCAATTTGATTACAATTGTTTTCTCTATTTTCTCGATAATTTTTGTTTGTTTACAAAATTTCATTAAGTATTTGATAAAATAAAACATTTGTGTCACCTCTTATTTTATAGAACTTTTGACGTAGTTTTTTACTAATATGTACTCCGTAATTTTTATTTCTTATAAATATACCGATTTGTAAATAAAATGATTTTAAAAGTGTAATTTTTAAATCAAATTCGTAATCAAATTTTCCTCCTTCCCATTCCTCTTTCCTCCTTGCTGCCGCCCCACTTTCTCTTACCATTTTTTTTCTTTTGCCCTTTCTTCTTCTTCTCTCTAGAATTGAGGCAGGATAGATATTGGTGGGGAAGGGGGTTGCCCTGCTAAATTTCAATAATAATAATAGCCATCAATTTTGTTTTTTTACACAATTGCCATTTCATCTAATCAATGGTCTAGATTTGTGCAGAGTATTTAGATAGAAATTGGACCCTTAGATCTTAGTTTTTGGCGGCAAAATTGGAACCTGATTTCTCATCACCTTTTATATATATAGTAGACTGGAGTGGACTTCCTCAACAAACAGTAAGCATACAAACCAAAATAAAACCCACATGTATATTGGTTTTTTTTCCTATATATATTTTGCTTTTTTTCTTCCTGGCTAGATGCAAATGGTGAACTCAAACCATGGTTTAATATCTCTAACCTACACTCTACCTGACAGTAATACAAAAAAAAAATGTACATCTAAGCCATAATCTATACACTGTTTTACATGTTCCATCCCAAAATGTCAAAGACCGGCAGACTCGGCGATCCTCACGGCATCAGCTATTTTTAGTGCCATAACAGCTTTATAAGTGGCTAAGTCAGCATTTTCCATAAGTTGTTGCGCTTTATGACGCTTGGCAACCGCCACACCCTCTTGTCTGTTGGCAGCAGACTTTGCTTCTTTTGCCTTGACAATGGCACTCTGCTGCTGCTCTGCATTTCGTTGCGCACCCAAGGCTGTGTGAAACAGTGGCAGTGTCATTTTAGATTTTTACAAAGAAAGTTGTATGCTTCATACAAATGGTCTCATCTGAACTGTATGTCTTAAATCAATGAAAAAGGTGCAATCTTTGAGAGAAAACTTTATAGTTTCAACAAAAAAGAAAAGTTTAAGATGTTATAAGAAAGGGTAGATAAACCTTTACGTCAATCCTTAATTGGTGCAAAAAAAGAAGAAGAGATGATTTGGGACAAAGGGACTACAAAGAAACATATAATGTACTAACAAATAGGAGATGCAGGTGCAATCACACAAACTACATGAATTAATTCATGCACATATGTCAAGAATATGGCCTGTAAACTGTAGTACACACCTTGAAAGAAAGTATGTTGCTTGCCTCTTCCAGCATGACTTCCTTGTCGTTTGAATGACCGTTTTTTCCTCACAACAGGTCTTGTTGGCAATACAGTTTTCCTTGGCTGGTACATCTGTACAGAATGCTACAATTAATACACCTGATAATTCAACCCATATCTGATCTTTGGTAATGCAATCCCTTTCTGAAGAAGGAGAAGAAAAACAATCAATACCTGGAATATCTTTATAAGTGGAGACCGTTTCTTTTTACGTTTTTTAATCCAGTAACTGTAAACAGCCTCAGCAACATCTTTCCCTTCTGATTCAAGGCAAGCACTGAGAGCAGTTTTTTCATCAGAACAATCATCTTGATTATGGAACCCCCATTTTTCAAGAGAATCAATCATCAATTCAAATTTTTCAAACGAGATACAATGATCAAGCTTGTCACTATTGAAGTCATTCAACCACTCCTCATCGTCACTATCCATGTCATAGTTTGCGGACCTCCTATCCATTGCCCGAGCTAACTCGTCTCTTTTTTCAGTGATGTAGGACACTGGTCGGCTAAATAGGGTGGTGGGCCCACACTCTCCATATCCCGACACCTCACATATTTCCGGAATAGGAATGGTGCTCACTGCTGAGGGGTGTGCATTGCGATCAGCACACTCCTTATAAAGTTCTTTGAAAATCCACCAATCTCTTCTATTTGGAAACTCTAACTTCCAACTATTATCAACAGTCCATATTATATCATGTGTGACGCGGTTTGAACTGCATGGCCTCATAACCTTCTCAGCAGTAAGGCTGTATCGCCGTGTTCCATCTCTCTTAACCGTAAGAGTCCACTGTCTTGAAACAGATGATAACTCCAATGCAATTATGGCCCCTTCTTCCCTATAACATTTGTCTGGCTCTATGACCAATAGATTTGCTGAACAGCTTGTAGAGTCTAGGTCCTTTGTAAACTCGACCACTGCAGATTTCAGTCCTTTGATGTTCTTTGCAGAAGACAACCGGAAACCGTTGTTATGTCTGAACCTCAAACCATCAGAAACCAAAGCCCCATTTGGTTTTGCTAATTTATTGGGAGAAGACCGTTTACCTCTTCTTGATATCAAAGCTCTCCTCCGCTTCTGGATAGTGCGCCCACTCCTTAACAATGAACTGCGTGTAGGTAACTTTGGAAGCCTAACAATTGGCTGTGCCACTATCTGCTTCCTGGAATCATCTTTACATTTTACAGATTCAATAACTGGATTACTCAAATTATTATCATCTTCAGAGTTATCAGACATTTCGCATTCCTCGTATATAGTCACAGAGTTCACAGATAGAGAACCAGAAAGAAACCAGTATTTTAGAGACAACGTTGAGTGGAGATACATAAAGCAAAATGGAATTGCAGAAAAATTGACAGTGAACAAAGGTACAGAACATCTAACAGCAGAAATTGTACAAACGCCAGCCTTCATTTCAGGAGTGTATTCCTACAAGGGGCAGAAACATGATTGATAGATTAGATAAAGACTCGAATGATAGAACAACTCAGAAGCATCACTGAAATGATGGGCAACCATATACCTTCAAAAAATGGATCCCATGCAAAGAAAACACATCACATATTGGTCTTGAGCTGATGAATGCAAAAATCTGTGCCAATGTGACTGAGGCCCTCGACATACCACCCAATAGTGAATGTAACAAGCAGCACATCAAATGACCAGAATAATGAGAGGAATATATGAAAACAGAATCTGCAGGTGAATCTTCTTGGGAATATTTAGCTTTCTTCTTCCGCCGCTGTCTAACAAAATACTTGCCAAACCTCCTCTCCTCCAAAGCCTCACTTGAACCATCAAAAGCTTCAAGAAGATTCTTTTCTTGAGCCCTACTCCGTTTCCGTCTATAAACAACTCCCCATCTCCTATTTACATTTGAATTTGAGTTCACAGTGTCCCTTGTATGACTGTCCAACTCAAGTTCTACTGCCCTACTATCTAAGTTTAAATCTACATCCATTTCCGAAGCTTCTTGCTTCTTGAAAGCATCACTTCCATGCCACCCATTGTTCGTGCACAGGGGACTGAGGGGAGGAGCATCCCCTCCACCACCAACTTCTGAATCATCAAGAAAATCAATTAGCCTGACCTCATTATGAGCAGCAGCCTTCTTCAATTGCTTTCCCTCGCTCAGGGTCCACACCTTCCTACCTGATCTTAGCACCCTTGCCCCAAACACCCTTGTTGTCCGTCTCATCCCAGCAGAAGGCATCGCCCTCTGGCGTTCTAAAGGCAGTACCCCTGCAGCTGAACCAATCTTTTCTTCCTTTTTTTGCACAAAACTATTCTGTGGTTTCTTGTTTTACACAAAAGTCAGCTGTCACAGCCTTATCAATGGCCAAAGATCAAATTTTTATTCATCAAACACACCACAAGGATCACTCCCATCAGGTGACTGACACTCATTCTCTGAACAAACCATGCATGTCAAAGGTGATTGAAGATATATATCTTAAAATCCAAAATCGGTTCCTTCCGTGATAAGGATTTCACTGCGCATAAATCCCTTTTGAGCGGAAAAAAACACCCTTACTGATCAGACTCTCAGTCTGCCATTAGTGGATGTGAATGCCCTGCACGGCGACGAAAATTAAATTATTCAAAGACTATGACTTTTTTAACACGATTAAATCCCAGTTCATAAACACGCTCTTACACGTGAATAAATATAAAATTATTATTTTTTTAAAGAAAAAAACTACATCTTGATTCACAGAAAAGCTAACACAGAAAGTGAAAGAAAGTTCGCCGTTACCATGATTTACGGCTACGGATCGGTTCAGAAAAGGAGAGAGTCGGAGAGAGATCGGGAAAGGGACATAGAAAGGGTCGATGAAGGCCGGAGAAGATGGCCGGCGGTGGACGAAAGAAGAGGCGAGTTCAGAGTCGGCGCAGGGGAAGGTTTGGGAGGCGGTTGAGATAGAGAAACGGATGGACAGATTATTAGGGTTGAAATTGAACAGATTCACTCTCTTTCATTTACTGTATCAGATTTTGACCCCGGACAAGACTTTCTAAATATTCCAAATTTGCCTCGCAATTTTGTATTTAGTATGAAATCAGTCCCGACGAGTCTTCTCTATAGTCTATACTCTATACTCTATAGTATGTCGGGACGACATCTAATTTTGTTTGCAAGGACTCCCAAGTCCCACCCTAAACTATTTTTTCAAAATTTGAGAAGTAATATCTTAAGGGCTGTTTGGCAACTTCTGAATAGCTAAGTGCTGAACCAGTAAGAGGTCTGAACCATTAAGAGCTGAACCAGTAAGAGGTCTGAACCATTAAGAGCTAGTATATTGCTTAACTATTCAGAGGCAAATGTCTGATCAATTCAGATAAGAGGTCTTAACCATTCAGACTCTGTATAATACTTAACCATTCAGAGGCAAATGTCTGAGCCATTCAGACATCTGAACCATTAAGAGGCTGAAACAAACAGTCTGAACCATTAAGTGTTGAACCATTCAGACATCTGAACCATTAAGAGGCTGAAACAAACAGCCCCTTAATTTTTTTGGGGGGTTTAATTAGTCTTGATAATCGAGTCAATCAGTTCGATTGGTATATTATGGATATATGTTATAATTAGTTCATATCTGGATCTATATTGATTTATTTCATTTTCGTTTTCGATTCTGATTCGATTAGATACTGATTTTAAATAGATATCGATTCAGGTGCAAATTGGTTCAGATATATATTAGTACGTGTAAATTTAAATAAAGAATGATTGCAGTTCGTTCAAAGTTGGTGCTTATTATCTAAATCAAATACTCCCTCCGTCCCCCTGTATTTCTCCACATTTAACTTTAGGAACTGTTCATCTAACCACTTTGACTCATCAAATTCTCTCAATATGTAAGCCTAAATATAGTCATGTGTGATCTTGTTTGATTTGTTTTAACATATAGATTATTAATATATAATTTTTATAATTTTTTAATAAACAAATTACAAGATAAAATAGATTAAAGAAGTGCATTGGATGGTGTGTAAAAATGAAGGTGGACAAATACAGGGGGACGGATGGAGTAGGGTACTAGTGGTATGTGGCCTAAAATATGTATTACTTTTTTTTAGAAGACAACACCCATAATTTTTTTTTTTGAAAACAAAGCAATCACTTCATTCAACCAAAAAAGGTCGTACAAAATCAGGTGGAGTCACAAACCAAACCCCAGCCTCCATCACAACTCTTGTAGCCAACACATGAGCTAACACATTAGATGTCCGAGGGACAAACGAAAAAATAGCATATTTAAACTGAGATAACAAGCCTCGACAATCACTAATAACTGAACCAACATAAGACAAAAAATAGACTCTCCATTTATTGCTTCCACAACCCTAGAGCAATCCGAGAACAACTCCAACTCCGTAAGTCCTTTCTCCCTCGCCCAACCCAAAGCCCTTCTACATGCCATCGCCTCCGCTACCCAAAACCTTTTTTCTATCCACATAAAAAAGTTTGTTTGGATAATCTTTACAAAGAAAATTATTTTAAAAACGGTCCTTAAATATATATAATTAAAATTGCTAATTTGTTATGATATCATATTTATGTCATTCTCGATACTTTAGTCTCACATTTCTAATTATCACAAACACAATTCTCATGCCCTAAATTATACTATCATCAAATTACATCCTCAATTCCTAATTTTTTATCATATTACATGTTCAAACATTTGGAAATTGGAGATGAATAAGAACATAATTTTTAATTTAGAACCAAAAATTATGTTGCGAGTAATTAAAAATACAACACTAAAATGTTGAATATGAAATAAATATACTATCTCAACACATAAAAAGTGCTAATAATTACGTTTAATGAGCATTTTCAAAATAATTTTTTTGTAAAGATTACTTAAACAAGAAAAATAACAGGGACCAAAAATAAAATCATACGGAGTATATTTTACAGTGACTAAAAAATATTTCACTTTATATAAAAATATATAACCCCCTTTATTTAAGTGATAAAATGCAAAGTTTGCCCCTAGGACACAGCTCAACTGGCAAAGGCAGTTCGTGGGCCTTGCTGACGGCTTATGGGGTGGGGGTTCGACCTATTGGATTCTTTAAAATCATAATTAATATTATAGTAATACACATAACAAAATTAAAGTATTGTAATTAAATATCATAATAACTATCTTAAAATATTATGTTTTTTGTTTTTGTATTATAAAGTATTATATATATTTAAAAAATAAAATGTTGGGCCCCCGAAAAAAATGGATCTAGGTCTATAGAGCACCTTGGCCCCACGAAAAAATGGATCTAGCCCTTTATAAGTAAGATTGGCCTTGACATAAATTTGACCGTTGATGGTGTAAATTACCTAATCGGGTAAACAGTACTAGACCGGGTCTAGAATTGTTTACTAGATTCGTAATAGTGAAAGGTAAAAACACTCAAAATGACCGGGAGGACTGTAGGTGGAAACACTTGTAGCCCAATTGATATTATAAATATAGGAGAATGTATTGGAGCTTTTACACAAGGGTTTTAGAGAGAAGAAATCGAATCCATCCCTTTGAGAGTTACAACAGTATTTATACTAAGTTAAAAGGGACAAAGCGCTTGTTACGGGACTATTATTATTACTCCCTCCGTCCACCTAAGATCTTCTCATTACGCGTTACGAGGCTTGACCGACTTTTTTTTAATTTAATTTAATTGATTATAAGAGTAAAATTTTAAAATAAAATTTATATAGTAATAAACTACATGAAAAGTTCTATAAAACTAGAGGTGACAAGACTATATTATTTTATGAAATGACTAATAAAAATGAGCAAACAAAGTGAGTAAAGTTTGACCCTGTGAATAGTGACTGGGAAGATCTATGATGGACAGAGGGAGTATTATTATTATTATTATTATTATTATTATTATTATTATTATTATTATTATCTATACATTATTTAAAAAGACATGAATTTTTTCCCGCCCATGCAAGACATTCATATATGGAAAGTATTGACAACATAAATGGTAGTTTAATTAGTTTACCTTAATGTTTTCCTTCCATTTTAAGTATGTTTTCATTTTCATTTTTATTTAAATGTTACACAATTTAAGCATTTAAATTAAATTAAATTAAATAGTAGTAAACCATTGGAGAATTGAAGTATAGAAATAAAATACACTGCCATTTAAATATTAAAATGAAATTTAAAAATTACAAATTAAAAAAGTATGGGCAGGATTAAAATGATTTATTTCAAACAAACTACAAATTATTTATTTATCATTAAAAAATATTATAATTTACAAGCATAAACGCGTAAAAATGGTAAGTTTTCTAAAATAGATTAGAAAATAAATATGGCACGGTAAGTAGATGATAACATTTAAATAAAAGAATAAAATAAAAAACTACAAATTAATATTAATACTATAATTTAAAAGAATGGAAATATTTTAAAAATGACAAATGTTCTAATTAGAAAATAAATAGATATGGTATGGTAAGCAATTAGAACCATTTAAAAACGAAACTAAAATAAGTGGTAAGTTTTCTAAAATAAATTAGGTCAGTGTTCTAAAATAAAAGAGAAAATAAAGTACTCCCTCCGTCCCCAATTTGATTACAAATTGTGGGTTATGGAGTAAAATTTCTTACTTTTTGAAATCATTTTATTTACAAATTGATATATCAATAAGATATAAAAATTACATATTAATTATTAAACAACTACGTCAAAAGTTCTACAAAACAAGAAATGATAAGAATATTTTATTTTATCAAATACTTAATAAAATCGCGTAAACAAACAAAAGTTATCGAGAGAAGAGAAAAAAATTGTAATCTATTTAGGGACAGAGAGATTACATCTAAAAATGACAAGTGTTCTAAAATAAATTAGAAAATAATGTGGTTTGGTAAGTAATTAGTATGATTTAAATACGAAACTAAAATAAAAAACTGCAAAATTAATACTAATACAATAATACTATACTTTAAAAACATTTTTTTTAAAAAAAGGTAAGTGTTCAAATTAGAAAATTAGAAAATAAATACGGAATGGTATGTCACCACGATAAGCAAATGGTACCATTTAAACACAAAATAAAATAAATGGTAAGTGTTTTAAAATAAATTAGGTAAGTGTTCTAAATAAATTAGAAAATAAAATATTTATTAAAATGATAAGTATTCTAAAATATATTAGAAAATAAATACGGTACGCTAAGTAAATGATACCATTTAAATAAAAAAATAAAATAAAAAACTACAAAATAATACTATCAATTAATACTACAATTTACAAGCATGGTAACGTGTAAAAATGGTAAGTTTTATAAAATAAATTAAAAAATAAATATGATACATTAAGCAAATGGTACCATTTAAATGCAAAAATTAAAAAATTATAAATTAATACTATTAATACTATAAGCATGGAAACATGTAACAATGGTATAAATATTCTAAAATAAATACTATTAATACTATAATTTACAAGCATGGATACGCGTAAAAATGGTAAGTGATCTAAAATAAAATAGAAAATAAATACCATAGGGTAAGTTAATGGTACCACTTAAATACGAAAATAAAATTAAAAAATACAAATTCCAAAATAAATACATTAATATGTTAAATAATTACTTAGATAAGTCAAATTATTGAATTATTATCAAGAACAATATCTGAAACATATTGAATTATTGTTACGGAAACTGGTATTTAGTCATGAGAAAGTGTATGTTACAGTTTAAAGAGTAATAAATCACAATGGCTCGAAGATTCTGATATACAACGAAGTGAATGCTCACACAAATTATACATACGAGTAATGTAGTTTATAAAGAAATCTTTCAAAATTTGTAAATCATTTTACTTTTGTACTTTAAAATAATGAAATCTCTATATTCCACTATATACCAATTTATATTCCTAAAATGATCTTAAGTTAGTACCGTAACTATGACCCGTGCAACGCACGGGTGTGATACTAGTTATTATTATTATTATGGTATGGAATTATTTATATATAGTTAGTTAACTATTATTAGGGAATAATATATTTGTTAGGTGATTAATTAGTTTCCTAGTTTATTTAGTTACCTTTATATTAAGGATTCTTAATTTATTTAGTTACCATTCACTATTGAGATTCTCTAGAGTTGGAGCCTATAAATGTATCCATCACTATAGCATTATGAATCAATGAATAAAGAAAATACTTTCTCCTAAACCTTAATCTCTCTTTTTCTCGCCTCCTTTGTTCTTGGAGCTTGAAGGTGCTCGAAATCCTTCCCTATCCCGATACAATATCGTAACAATTGGTGCTCTCATTCTTGAACTCACAAAAAAAAATCCAAAGAAAAAAAAACCCTTTTGCTGGAAAAATAATTGTGTGCCGATCAATTAGGAACATCATTGTCTCTGAATTGTGTGCTGGTAATTGCAAGTCATCATCACTCACAAGATCACAAGCTATGCCATCAAGATGATTTTGGCCATCTCCCTGGGACCGTGTACCTAATTTGCCATAGTGAAACTCAAGACCCATATATTGGTAAAATTCCTTCACACAAGATTTGAGGTATTTTTACGTAGTACTATTTTTTTAGTGATATTTTTGTGTGGTGGTATTTTTTTTGGCAATGGATTCTCTGTTGGACAAAGTTCTTGGTTTACTTGAGAAAGTTCTACGGGGACAAATTGAATTTTATGAAGGAGTGTGTGCAGTTGAAGATTCCGTGGATGAGATTATAAAAAAACTTCAGACAGTTCGTCCAATTGATGGTCCACCAAAATATGATTCCGAAGTATATGCGTTCGCCGTAGAGGCCTATTGTTCAATCCAGGATTTAGTCCGTGGTCTCCCAATTATGCCGAGCCTGATTCCTATAGAGTTATATATTTTCAAAACAACCATGATGCGCTCTATAAGGAAACTCATCGGCACTCCACGAGATTCAGCCCCTACAGTACCTGTGCAGAACACAACTTTGCAGGACCAGAAATTTGAAAAAGAAATTTTTATTAACCCTATTGGTGTTCCCGATGATGATCTTATTATTGATCCCATAGATGTTGTTCCCGTTACCGTTGTTGATGTTGTTGTTGATGTTTCTGGTGACGATCAATGAGACCACACTGTCCAAGCAAAATATTCAAGTGATGGTGTCATTTTTTATGGATGCACGGAAACATTTGGGACGTCAGAAAGTGACGTTGTTGTCCTTTATGATTATGGAGATGTCACGCGTGCTGGCAGGATTTTCTTCTTATTGGTTTTCTGGAGTTGTTTGCTTGGAGTTGTGAATGCTTTGAGCTTGAGCGATTCTTTTGATGCTCCATTCATAAAGGTCTTTGACCCCGGAGGATGTCTGTTCACAACGCATGATTCCTCGTTTATTCTAGATTTCCAACTTGAGGACAAGTTGGTTTTCGAGGCGGGGAGAGTGTTACGGGACTATTATTATTATTATTATTATTATTATTATTATTATTATTATTATTATTATTATTATTATTATGGTAAGGAATTATTTATATATAGTTAGTTAACTATTATTAGGGAATAATATATTTGTTAGGTGATTAATTAGTTTCCTAGTTTATTTAGTTACCTTTTATATTAAGGATTCTTAATTTATTTAGTTACCATTTACTATTGAGATTCTCTAGAGTTGGAGCCTATAAATGTATCCATCACTATAGCATTATGAATCAATGAATAAAGAAAATACTTTCTCCTAAACCTTAATCTCTCTTTTTCTCGCCTCCTTTGTTCTTGGAGCTTGAAGGTGCTCGAAATCCTTCCCTATCCCGATACAATATCGTATCAGCGCTGCTCAGTCACGTCAAGGCACGTTCATGGGTGGTAGGAGGTGATTGTTTCTGTCCTTTAGCTGCCTTGTCGCCTAGCGAGGAAGGTGGCTCTCTTGTCGCATACTACCCTAGATGGATTATTCGAGCATCTCCCATGATTCTCCGTTGATCATGGTCGCTACAATCCAAATCCTTTTAGATTCTTCTCTTGCCGAGACTTTTTAACCCTACAAACCATACCGGGTAATTCTCGAGGGATGAATTTATTGAAAGTGGGGAATGAAATGAGGCGATACAATAGTTGACCGGTACACTATCCGAAGTATACCGGTCAACTTTTTGGTCAATCGAGCATTCTTTACTGACGATTAAGGTCTCCCTTCCAAGAATAATCAACTTGACCGGTCAAACATTTGGACATTTCCTTTGACCGATTCTGAGTGTAATACACCCATCAACCGTCACTAACAAATTTAGAAACATCTCACAATTTACTTCTTCCACAAACATCACGACATTGGTATGGGGGACCCTCATGATGGGATTTTTTTGTGATAAACTACGGAATAAAAGATTTGTCGTACATAAAAGTAATTACACCTATAATTTGAATGCATGTATTTTAAAAGATGTCAACATATGTAAATATATGATTCTTTTCTCAAAAGTCATTTGATAAATTTATTATTAATGAGCTATTAGCTTCGATTGAAAAGTTTAATCTATTTGAATTTGATCAAATTTCAAATGTAATTAGTGTTGAGTTTAACCGGTTCTAGATCAAACTAATTTTGAATTTAATTTGTTTAGATCCATTCAGATTTGGAAATTAAGTCTAATCAAATTGTTTAACTTTAATATTTTAAAATTTAAATTGTTTAAAAAAATCAAAACATTAACATTAATTTAAAATATCATACCAGACCCAATTACCAAGTAACCAAATTGGAATGCAAGCCTCCGGCCTACCACAGCAAGATCGCTAGGCCGAATATTGCACATATTTTATCACAGTCTCATTGGAAAATAGTACGAGTAAAAGAAAAACATGTGGTCTACTTGGTGTGCCATTTTTAATATTTTTTAATTGTGTCGGAAATACTCATTGGAATTTGATAGCAAGCTTATCACACAAAACATGACATAACCAAAAAAAGATTATTTTAGTGTTATTTTAAAGTTTATTTTATTATGATATCCAAATTTGATGTATTGTCTTTACTAAATAGACAATCATTTTCTTTCCATGTACCAAAAGAGAGAAGTCTTAGGTTTTCTTTGAGATTTAAAACCATAAACTACTCAAACAAATGTTCATCTAGCACATATCAAAGGCCAATTGCACCTAACATCCAAATATATCTACTTTCATATACATACATTAAGCATTATATCACTCGTAAATACAATACACAAATTTTATAATGTATGGAGTATATGTTTTGTGTATATGCAAAATTAATATGCATTTTTTATATAGATTTATTTTCAGAAATTCATATTTATCCTTTAACACGGATTCTAAGTGTTGTTACCAATAAAATAAACATTGTGCAATGACAAAACTTGCATACTCAATTTCCTACAAAAATTAATGGAATCTTATTTAATTAAGCTAGTTTTTAATTTTTTTGTTTAATCTTGATAAGTTTCACTGGAGAGAAGAATTTAGAAAAACGAAAGAGCAGAATATCTTTATTGAAGCTTTAACAATGGAGATCCTTCTTACATTTCTGTTACATTCTCTCTGAGTCTACTCAGAATAACAAAACCACTATATATAGAAAAGCTAAGAGGAAAGAGAAGAGAAACTAAACATCCGTAAAATAAGGAGAGAAAGTTTAAGTAGTTGGACAGCTGGCCTGGACAGGTGGCAACCCCACATAACTATTCACACCCCCCCGCAAGTTGGGTGGTGGTGAAACCATCCCCAGCTTGGATAAAAGCTTATGAAATTGTTCAGCAGGTAGAATCTTTGTGAGCACATCTGCGAGTTGATTAGCAGTGGGTAAATAGGATAGCTGAATGAGACCTTCAAGCACCTTCTCCCGTGTGAAATGACAATCAATGTCTATGTGTTTTGTTCTTTCATGAAAAACAGGGTTCTTAGCAATGTGCAAGGCTGATTGGTTGTCACAGTGCAAAGTAATAGGCTTCAAATTGCAGACCTGAAGTTCCTCTAGCAATCTAACCAACCAAGTAACTTCAGATGCAACCTGTGACATAGCTCTGTATTCTGCTTCAGAAGAGGATTTAGAAACTGTGCTTTGTTTCTTAGATTTCCAGGAGATTGGAGAACCCCCAAGAAGAACAATATACCCTGTAACAGACCTCCTTGAAAATGGGCAAGAGGCCTAATCAGAATCAGAAAATGCATGTAAAGATAACTGGTCAGAACCTCGCATGAGAATACCCTGATCAATGGTACCCAACAAGTAATGAAGGAGATGAAGAGCTCCTTTCATATGAAACTCTTCTGGATTCTGCATAAATTGGCTCAAAATTTGAACAGAATATGAAATGTCAGGTCGAGTGTGGGTGAGAAAATGGAGTTTGCCTATCAAACTCCTGTATATGGTGGGATCTGAACACAAAGAGGATTCACCATGCTGGAATTTGAGATGCTGAGGAAGAGGTGTTTTAACTGGTTTGTCATGTAGGCAGCTGTGTTCAGCAAGTAAGTCTTGGGTGAACTTTTTTTGAGAGAGAATGATGCCTTCAGAGGTGTAGGTTAACTCAAAACCAAGAAAATAGTGAGCAATTCCCAAGTCTTTAATGGTGAAACTATCATCAAGAAATGCTTTAAGTGAAGTAATAGTGCTAGAATTGGAACCAGTGACAAGGATGTCATCAACATAGACAGCAGCTAAAGTGATATCCTGAGAGGAAATTTTGAGGAACAAGCTAGGATCACATTTGGATTGAATGTAGCCTTGACTGAAGAAAGCATTTGAGAGTTTGGTGAACCATTGACGACTAGCCTGTTTAAGCCCATAGAGAGACTTTTTTAGACGACAAACCTTGTTAGTAGGGTTGGGAAAACCCAAAGGAATCTTCATGTATACCTCATCAGTTAGATCTCCATGAAGAAAAGCATTATTGATGTCTAACTGAAACAAATCCCACTGTTTTGAGGTAGCTAAGGCAATAAGGCATCTGATGGTGGACATCTTAACGACAGGAGAGAAAGTTTCAGTGTAGTCTATGCCATACCTCTGATGGTTACCTTGAATAACTAGCCTTGCCTTGAATCTCTCCAGGCTGCCATCAGATTTGAGCTTAACTTTATAGACCCATTTGCTGGAAATGGCTTTCTTGCCAGGTGGAAGATCAACAAGTTCCCAAGTTGCATTAGCTTGTAGTGCTTCTATTTCTTTCTCCATTGCAACAACCCATCTTGGATCAGTGGAAGCCTCAAAGAAGGATGTGGGTTCAGAATAAGAGCATAAATGAGTAAGAAAGGCTGTGTGAGATGGAGGGAGTGTATCTAAATGAACAAAATTACACCAGTGAGCTTGAGGGACATTGAGGTGGTGATTTTGTTTTAAAGTAGGACACTGATAGTGTTGTAAATAGGAGGGAGGTTTACGTGTGCGAGGAGGCACCCTCGATGAAGGAGCTGAAGTTAGTATGGGAGGTGAAGGAGCAGAATGTGATGTGGAAGGGGAAGAGGATGAGGATGAGGGTGGGGATGAAGAAGCTGAAGTTGTGTTTGTTGGATAGGAAAAAATAGAAGAAGTGTCAGGAGGTAAACTGGGAAGAACATGAGAGGAAGAAGAAGAGAGGTGATGAAAGGGGAAATGATTCTCATGGAAGCTTACACTTCTGCTGTAAAAGACTTGTCTAGTATGAAGATCAAGGAGTTTGTAGGCCTTTTTATGGAAAGGATAACCCAAGAATACACAAGGGACAGCACGAGGTGCAAATTTAGTTCTATGAGAGGACAATGTAGTGGCAAAACACAAGCAGCCAAAAGATCTCAAATGATCATAAGTAGGAGATTTATGAAAGACAATTTCATATGGAGTTTTATTGTGAAGAACAGAAAGGGGGGATCTATTAATCAAGTAACAGGCTGTAAGAACCCCAATATTTGGTTGGTAGTTTGGCTTGGAAAAATAAGGCTCGGGCTGTTTCAAGCAAATGTTTGTGTTTGCGTTCTACAACCCCATTCTGCTGAGGTGTTTCAACGCAAGAGGTTTGGTGAACAATTCCATGAGATTGGTAAAAAGATTGGGCAAAGGAATCATCAAACTCCTTCCCATTATCTGAACGTATGATCTTAACAGAAACACTGAACTGGTTTTCAACCTGAGTGATATAACTGGTGAAAGCAGTGAAGGCATTGGATTTGTGGGAAAGAAGTTGAACACAAGTTAATCTAGAAAAATCATCAACAATGGTCAAGAAAAATTTATGACCAGCATAAGTAGGGGTTTTATATGGTCCCCAAATATCAACATGCAACATTTGAAAGACAGAAACAGATTTTATTGAACTTGAAGGAAAAGGCAATTTGTGCATTCGAGCTTGAGGACAAACATGACATATGGAAGAAGATGTAAAATCAGTACATGAAAACTGTTCAATGCACTTTATTCTATCAAAAGGCAAATGACATAATCTACAATGCCACAACTCAGATTTAGACAAACTGACAACAGAGGAATGAGAATAAGCATGAGAAGCTGAAGGTGAGCACTGCTGCACAAAATACAGGCCACCACTTTGTTTACCAACCAGCAATGAACTCTTCTTCATTGAGTCCTGAATCAAACAATGGGTAGGGTAAAAGACAAAGGAACAAGATAGTTGATCAACAAGTTTTTGTACAGACAACAAGTTGTAATGAAAATCTGGAACATGCAGAACATTAAGCAATTCTATTCCATTATGTAAGATAACACTTCCTTTGTGTAGGACTTTTGCTCTCTGGCCATTGGGTATAGTGATGAAACAAGACTCAGAAATAGGTTCATATGGAGAAAAATTAGATAAGTGAGGGCTTATGTGATCAGAGGCTCCACTGTCAATGATCCAATCTGTTTTATCACAAGGAGAAAAGAAACAGTAACCAATAACTGCCAAATGAACATTGGAAGCCATGTGATTTGAGAGAAAACTGTGACTACTGTCATGAGCTGTGTTGCTTGGGACATCCTTGCTTAAAAGACCAATCAACTGACTATACTGAGAAGGAGCCAGTGAGACTGGCACTTCATCATTTTTGAAACTTTCATTAGAGCTTAAGGAAGCAGAACTGTAGTCATAAGTCCCTTCAGAAAACACATTTCCAACCACCTTTTTTCCATGAGAAAAAGCTTGATCCCCTGGAGAACTCTGAACCTTGTTTGTTTTGGGATATCCATGTATTTTGAAGCATCTTTCTATGGAATGTCCAAACACCTTGCAGTGTTGACAGAAGTACTTGGACTTTTTGCCACTTGGAGTGATTCCATAGACAGGCTTGTTAGAGGACTGAGATTTTGTGTGATGAATTGATGCCATTGCAGTGGATTCATATGCCAGAGGTGCTATATTAGTGCAATCCCTCTGAGATTCTTCTTGATTTATCAACTTGTAAGCTTGGTTTAAATTTGGCAGAGGCTTCATCATCAGGATGTTACCTCTAGCAGTTTTGAAGGAATCATTTAATCCCATGAGAAATTGCATCAGATGTTGATCCTGAAGCAATTTGGAGTAACTTCCAGCAGTATCACATCTACAGTGAGGCAAGGTCACCATAGTCATATACGTGTCCCATAATCCTTTCAGCTTTGTGAAATATTCACTCACAGAATCAGAACCTTGAACAAGTGTAACCATCTCCTTGTGTAACTGGAACAACCTTGGTGCATTAGATTGACTGAATCGCTCAGCCAAATCCTCCCATATTTCCTTATCAGTTTCACAATACAAGATACTATTTGCAATACTCGGCTCGACGGAATGAAGGATCCAAGATATTACCAAATTGTTGCACCTGATCCATTGCGAATACAGAGGTGAAGTGGATTCAGGCATCTTTGACGATCCATCAACAAAACCTAATTTGTTTCTCGCGCTCAAGGCTATTTCAGCCGATCGTTTCCACTGAGTGAAATTTTCTCCATTCAATTTTTGTGAGGCGAGGACGAAGCTTGGAGATTCAGTCGGATGAAGGTACAATTCGCTCTGGATATCAATAGGAGGTCGAGTCGTAGAGTTCATGTCCGCCATTGAAAGCGAGAACCAAAGAGAAAAAAACTGAAACAGAGATTACGCTGCACAGGAAGATCTGAAATCTTCGAAATTCATCAGAGATGGCTCTGATACCATGATAAGTTTCACTGGAGAGAAGAATTGAGAAAAACGAAAGAGCAGAATATCTTTATTGAAGCTTTAACAATGGAGATCCTTCTTACATTTCTGTTACATTCTCTCTGAGTCTACTCAGAATAACAAAACCACTATATATAGAAAAGCTAAGAGGAAAGAGAAGAGAAACTAAACATCCGTAAAATAAGGAGAGAAAGTTTAAGTAATTGGACAGCTGGCCTGGACAGGTGGCAACCCCACATTACTCTTCACAAATCTTATGGAAGTAAAGTGTATTTTATTGCATTTAATTTATTGTTTAAAATAAATTTTACATTCCCAATTAAATACAATTTTACATTTAATAAATATTTAAAATAAAAATCATTATTTTTGTCATTTTAAATTGTCTATTTCTTTTAAAAAAAATCAGGGGTGCTGCCCCGACCAATTGTGCCCCCATCTACTTGAATTTCTGGATCCGCCACTATTTCCATGTTATAAGTAGGTTGATAAAGTAATTGTACGAAATAAAGATTATGCAACTTGTAAATGTGCATATTTCAATTTCAAGCCCTCAAAGAAACCCGCAAGAATTACAGCACATATGATTGATATAGATTCCTCCACAACCACTACGAGCTTTTGTTTGGATGAAGGAGTCAATTTCAAAATTAAGAATAAGAGAATAATTCTTATTCCAATCTTAATTTCTTTTGCACTAATTTAAAAAGAGATGTAAAGGGGAATAAGTGGTACTTTTCCTCACACTTATCCCAAAAAATTGTTGGCAAGTACCCTCTATTTTATGATAAAAACTATCGGGTACCCTTAATTTTAAAAATATACTCCCAGGTACCTCAAATTTTTCGAAAATGTACCAGCAGGAGCCATCCGTCAATTCCTCCGTTAATTTTAACTTCATCATCATCATCATCATCATCATCCACATCATCACATATTCATCACCATCATCATCATCATTTGATTTCCCTCTTCCGATCCAGACCCCCATCCCTCCTTTTTTTTCTTTTTTATAATAACTAGCATCACTCCCGTGCGTTGCACGGGTCATACTTATATTACGAAAATAAGATCATTTCTGAAGGTTACAATTTCTTATCTAATACTCCATCCGTCTCTGAAACATCTTCCCCTTTCATTTTTCCTTTATCCCACAAACTCCTTCCTTTTTCTATTGAAATTATTTTTACCCTTACTTTTTCATACCCTAGCTATCACATCATACCTTTTTATTAATAATCTATCTATCACATCTTACTTTTATCAATCACATCAAGGGTATTTTTGGAAAGTCAACACCAAAATATCTCTCCCTTAATTTTCCAAAAAGTCAATAACGGAACTTCTTCGGGACGAAGGGAGTAGAATATAAATATTTTATTATTTTAAAGTACAAAAGTTAATTGCTTTACAAATAACGAAAGATTTCTTTATAAACTACATTACTCGTATAATTTTTATATATCAAACTTTTAAAAATTTATTTATTTAAAGACTTCTTCATGATTTTCTACTCCGAAAGCATGAATCTTATTTAAGAACTTAAGAGAGTGTAAGTCATTCAAAAAATTTGAAAGAGACTAATCACGAAAAGTGATTGAGAATGACTGTATTTAAAGTATGAAAAAATTAAAGTATTTTTATACTATGTATTTATTTAATATATGCACAGGATTTCCTTTTTTGTAATCACTTAATTCCTTAAATACCTTTCTTTTGTTTCCCTTTTTAAGAATATGGTACTTATGCATTCCAAAAATGAAACTATCTAATTATAATATTGTATACATGTGTTTCCTTTTAAAGCCTTTTTATGCGATATATATTTAATACGTATGAATTATCTTACAATATTGTATAAATATGTTTCCAAATAATTAATACTTTTTTTCGTTACAAATTATTAATTATTTTCATTTATTTCGTTACAAATTATTAATTATTTTCATTTCTTTCGTTACAAATTATTAATTATTTTTACCAAGGCATCTAACACGTTAAATATAAATTATTAGTAACTTCCGTGGGAATAAATTAATTTTTTCCGTTACAATTATTATTAATTAGTAATTTAGATATAAAATTGTGTAATTATGTTAATGTCGTATTTAAATGTGGTTCCTTTTAAAGCCTTTTTTGCGGTACTAATTTAATACTTATTTCCTTTTTTCTCCTTTTCATCTGCAGTAAATATGGGCCGTAGATGCATAGATTGACAAATATCAATGGCTCATGAGGCTTGGCAAATGGGCAGGAAAAAGCATGGGGCATAATTCTCCTGCTTTTAAGAATAGGTTGATTAGAGTAAATTCCATAATTAGTCCTTTATAACAGTGGGGTTTCCATATTTAGTCCTCTATTATCAAATATTACTCCTGTAGTCCTTTTTTTAAGGGTACCTTTCTACAAATGGTCCTTTTTTTGATCTTCTGCCATGTTGGTGTAAATTTAATGGCTAAAAGTATAATTTGACGTTAACATTATGTCTAGTGACGTGTTCTGATATTTGTTAAGCGGATAACACAAAAATAATGACTATGATTGTGGGCTAGGATTCTGACGAAAGATCACATTTGTAGACTATATTTGTCGTAAAAAGCGACTGTAATTCACAAACGATGCAAATGGAACAGCCTTTGGAATTGTGTATGACAAAAAAGATATATTATCATTGTGAAATTACACTTTTAGCCCTCAAATTAACACCAACATGATAGAAGATCAAAAAAAGGACTATTTGTGGAAAGGTACCCATAAAAGAAGGACCACTTGGGTAATATTTGATAATAGAGGACTAAATAGGGAAATCCCCCTATTATAAAGGACTAATTATAGAATTTACTCTAATAATTATTATTAGTAAAACTAATTATTGTTTTACTTTTTTTTTTTGAGGAAATTAAAATATTGTTTTACTACTCTAATTCTAAAAAAATACTAATGTCCTAAAACTTTCTTCCCACCCCTTTTTCTCCGTCCTAAAATTACCTTCCTATTAGAAAAAAAAGATGACAAATGACATTAATACCCTCATGTATTTACATCAATTATCTTCTAACTCTATATTTTGAATGATTGTAAAAAAAATTTCAAAAAATCTTTTTTAAGGAGGGTAAAATTTGAAGTCAAAGTCAAAAATTTAAAATGGGGAAAAGTCAAACTGGGAAGAAAGAATTAGGACGGAGGGAGTATATACCCCCAATTTTGATTTCAACCTTTTTTTCTCTCAACTCTCGATAACTTTTGTTTACTTGTGTATTTTCATTGATTATTTGATAAAATAAAATATTCTTGTCACCTCTTATCTTGTAGAACTATTGATGTAGTTTTTTAATATGTAATTTTTATTTTTTATTGATGTAACAATTTATAAATAAAATGATTTTAAAAGATTCGGTATCTTACCTCGTAAATTGTAATTTGTAATCAAATTTGGGACGTAGAGAGTACATTAATTGATCATTAAAACTAATTTTTTAGTAAAGATTTAATATACTTAAGTCTTTTTTTACCCAAGTAGAGATTTGGAAAACTTAGTGGGGGTATATACTTTTTTTGGTAGGGCATTAGTATCTTTTTTTTTAGAATTAGAGTAGTAAAATAATATTTTCCTCAAAAAAATAGTAAAACAATAATTAATTTCTCTAATAATAATAATTATTAAAAAGAAAAACAGGGAGGGCTGGGGTTTGGATCGGAGGAGAGAAATCAAATGATGATGATGATGATGGTGATGAATATGTGATGATGTGGATGATGATGATGATGAAGTTAGAATTAACGGAGGAATTGACGGATGGCTCCTGCTGGTACATTTTCGAATAATTTGAGGTACCGGGGGGTATATTTTTAAAATTAAGGGTACCCAGTAGTTCTTATCATAAAATTGGGGGTACCTGCCAGCAATTTTTTGCACTTATCCTCATTAAAAATGACATAAAGGACATGTGAACTCAGTAAAAGGGAGTGCATATTGTGAATTGCCCCTTTATTAAGGTCTGGATTGATGAATTCCAACAAGAAACATGAAGGGTATGTCTGGTTGGTTGGAGGGGACAAAACCTCCTAAAGTGTTTGTTTTACCAGGCAAGGAAGGAACCATCCCCCCCCCCCAAGACAAGATTGCAAGGTTGAATCACACATTACATTCATCTCATAGTGTGTAATCATGTTTCAGAAAGGGCCAAGGGTTCCCTCACTTCGGCTCCTGCGCATAGAAGGTTCCTCTCCATAAAGCTTGTTGTTCTTGGGGTCAGTGACAGGAGGGTGACGTGTACTTCTTCGGGACACACTTGGGCCCACCAAGTGCCCGTGTCTTGCTTTTGATGCCTTACGACCATGGATTGCCGAGGACGACACTTTATTATGTGAAGAAGAAGAAGAGGCGCCCGCAGTTCCCTTCCGCACAACCTTGAGGTCTGCTTTAGCACCACGGTCGGGCACGTGGGACCCGATCCCTAACCGACAAGACCGGTCCGAAGCGTCTTTGGATGTCCCGATTTTGATGGATTGCCCGTTATAGTACGAGAGGTGCGGGACCAGACTCAGCAGGTGTTTCTTGAGTTGTTCGTGACCAACGTTCTTCTGGCCAGGGTTGCCTTCCAGGTAGATGGATTGAAGAGAGTTGTAATTAGCTGCAAGTTGGCCCAGTGATTTGGCTGTAGATATTTTGTTAAACCTCAAATCCAAAATGTTCAGTTTTAGCAGGCGGTGGAGACCCTCAACCTCACTAATTTTGTTCCCTGCCAGGTACAGCTCTTTTAGGGAGGAACAGTAAGCAAGGCCTGCAAGTTAAAGAATCATTAGGTTATGTAAATCGTTCATTACTCTAATGTCTAATACAAGAATCATCACTTCTGTTCCCCACTTGCCAATGTTTGTTTCCACTACCTATCATTTTTCAGAGATGCTAGTTGTAATATGCCAATTCATTCACATCTTTATCACTGGCTACAAATTTAGTGAATCAGAGAATCAATGCACTAGTAGCATAATGGTCACACATTTTGATTATTGATTATCATAAGCACTTGCAAAATACTCCGCAAAATATAAATATATGTTACAAAGCATTCTATCTGAGAAAGTTAAGCAGCTTTAGGCAG